AAAAATGTTTGAGTCGGCCCCTTTTTGGCGGGTCGGTCGAGTGAGGGCAAACAAACAATATTTTTATTTTGGCCCCAACATGAGAGTAGTTAACTCTGTAATCTATACACTGTATAGATACAAGTGCTTGTCATCTTGTATTGGTATCGTTATCAACAATGTCTCCTCAATAACACATCAGGACACCTAAACATTATATCACCATATAATCAAGACCAATAATAAGGCTGGCAAAGTTCACATTGTAAGATTAATGTACAAGTTATTGTATGCTATCGTGGCAAAAAAGATCCGAACGTCAACGAAATGACGAGTTTTGTATTTTGTAGGCCTACTCTCTTTTTTTGCAACAAATTCTGATTCTTCTTAAATCTTCTGTCTCTACAGTTATGTTACCATATTGCTACATATAAGAAGGCTAATCACTACTGCTACAGTACGTTTCTTCATTAATAGAAAACTCTCGTTGGATTGTCCTCTGTTGATCTCTTCAGAAACAGCATCTAATGCCCTCTTTAGGCAGTAGAGTTTTTCAAGAGGCGTCAAACATTGGTCTAGCTTCTCAAGTTCACACGTCTGTTGAAAAAAGAGGCAATCAATGACATGGGGCCAATGACAACACAAACGGTGTTAAGCCGGGCGCACACGTGAGTTATTTTACTCAAGTAAAATGACGCACGAGTCAAATTACTCAACGAAAATCCGCCGCACACGTGAGTAAAATGACGCATGCGTCAAATTACTCAACAAAATTCCCCGCACACGGGTGATGAAAAATGACTCATGCGTCATTTTACTTGAGTAAAATAACTCACGTGTGCGGCTGGGCATTTACGTTCGCACTTGTTTACTTCGCCGCCTTTCTCACGATGCAGATATTAGCTGCCTTATATAATACTCATCAGGCTTTCTAGTGAGAGAGAGGGAGGAGTATGCTCACTGCGTTCGTGTAGGGAAACCACAGCCTCACTGGCGAACTCCAGCTGGGGGGGGGGCGGTAGCGTCATCGGCACGAACATGCCCCAGCCGTCGCTAGCAAGTCACTTGTCGGCTGCTGCAGCAGGTGACGTTTACACAACCGAATAGACCTTCCTGGGAGTGCGTGGGTAACGCAGCTGAAACGAACGAAGTTCAGACTACGGACATAACCTTTGTCGGCGTGCACGATATAGAATCGATCAAAACATTTGCATGTGTACCATTCTGTTGATGGCTGGGCACTAGGTGATGTGTCACTATGGCTTTGTTTGCGCAGCAAATAACACTGTGGGGATTATTTTAACGAATTCACGAGTGTCGCAACATCTCTGCTGTGGACCTTCCTGTGTATCATTTAGAGGCTAGACCGCCAAATATCTAGCCTATCAATTTGCTGCTTCTAACGCCTTCACATCGGGTCCTTCTGCCCATATTCTGGATTTCGTGCAATAATCCTAAGTGATGGAAGAAGAAACATCGAGTTCAGCAACACGTATCTCTTCTCTATTAATGTAGCACTTTAAGTTGTCTGGGTCAGAGTCAGGCGCACACAAGACTGCTGTAGATAAAAATGTTGTTTAATACAACAGCCCCAAACACCAAAATGAGATGAGTATTTATGATTATCGCTGTCATATATCACACTGCGTATTCTATGTCACATACATTACTATCGGGTATCTATTCACGAAGCAAACTTTTTACCTTGGTAAAGACACGCAACTATCCTGACTCACAGCAGCACACACTAGGTCTTAGCAGCTCACCTCCTACCGCTCGCATCGTTGTCTCATATATTCGCACCTGCGCATCAGTTTGGCTGCAGGATTCGCGGCGTACTTTACTGCCGCGTCATGCGGAGAGTCACGCCTCCAGAACCCATGCGTAGGTGTCACTGAAGCTCTGCGCTTTGTGGCGTCCATTGCTTCCTCGAGGCAGGCGTTCCGCTGCTAGGCCGCCTAGCCAGGAAAATCTCGGCATTCTGTTATAAGATATCTACAGAAAGGTGCTGCAATATGCAAGCACCGAACTTGTATGCAGGGAACATTCATCAGCATGGAATGGAATGCTACATAGTCAATTCGTTTGGTTCTTTGTAGGTCCATGCGATATATATATATATATACTAATGTATATGATACGGCAGGGGCGTACGTACACTTACGCAAAGTTATGCAAATGCGTACTAAACTTTTTCAGATAAAAAAAGAAAGAAAGATTTTTTACTAAACAAAATAATGCAACGTTTAGTTGGGATTACAGATTATGCGTGGTGATAAGAATAATGACTACAGTCATTATGCGCCAGATGGTCGGCACGGATTTCAGTAAAAATGACAACTTTGACAAATTTTGAGCCTGGCCAATTTTGTGCTACTCAGTCAAAATGTCATGGGTAGCCCCTGATTATGTAATGTATACTGTATAGTATATATATATGGTTTTTTCGCAGCATTTTCGCGAAGCATGTCATTTAATGGTGGATAGGGGAGGGCCTGCTGAGAGAGTTGTTACCAATTGAGTCAATTACATCACATTGTTCATAACGCAACCGCGATTAACACGGGCTGAGCTCGATCAGTTAGAGAGAGAGAGCCATACATCAAGCTGTGAATGACATAGTATGACTGTGTTGGCGCAAAACAGCTTGAAAATCAAGGATTAATGGGATCGTACAAAGAGACAAGGGGGAAGAGGGAGAGGCAGAGAGGGAGAGAGAGGGGCTGGTGCGTGCGTCGCGTGCGTGCGTGCGGTGCGCGTGTGTCGGATGCTGGCACGCCGTCGTGCGTGTTTGTGGATGATACATGTGTTTGTGATGCATGTGTTGTGTGCGTGTGTTTTTGTTGGATGCGTATGTGTGTGTGTGTGCGGTCCGTGTTTTTGTGGCATGCATGTGTGGTTTGTGCGGGGAAGAGAGAAAGAGAAAGAGAGAAGAACGTAGAGAGAGAGAGAGAGAGAGAGAGAGAGAGAGGAGACGAGAGAGAGAGGAGGAGAAGAGGAAGAGAGGAGAGAGGAGAAGACGAAGGAGAGAGACAGGAGAGCGAGAGAGTGAGAGAGCGAGCAGAGCGAGCGAAGGAGAGAGAGGAGAGACGCACGAGAGGAGAGAGCAGAGAGATGAGAGAGAGAGAGAGAGAGAGAGGATAGAGAGAGAGAGAGAGAGAGAGAGAGAGAGAGAGAGAGAGAGAGAGAGAGAGAGAGAGAGAGAGAGTGAGATGGCTATATAGGTAATTACCAATTAATTAATCAGTAAGAGGTTGCTGTGCTAATAATGCGAGTGCACACTCCATATATCATTATTTATAAGCAATCAGGTCAATACTAGAATTTGAACATACTCTGAATGGACGCTCCCCATCGAAGAGCGGTCAAGTTTGATAAGGTCTAACTGCTCTTGTGATGTGGTCACCTGTAAAATTAGTTTAGATTTGGTAATACTTTAATCATGTATTTGAACCAAAACAGAACATACTATCGATTAGCATACTGTATATATAAGCTGTATATTTTGCGGTGGTTTATATTTCGCGAATTTCGCTAACGCGTCCCCGACCCGAGAAAATATCTGTACGCGAAAAACATGGCGTATACAGTAATTTACAAATGAATTTTACCGAATAGATATTATGTAATAAGTTATCATAATTTTTTGGCAGTAAATTAGTACAGGGCAATTAATCCGATCATATTTGACTAAGACAACTTGATATTGACTAAGACAACTTGATATTTGAATAAGACAACTTTGTACAACCAAGTACAGACAATACTTATGTTACCCGTTTGAATATTTCGGCAATAATTCCATCCACAATTACTATCCTATAGGTTTTGAAGTCCTGTAATTGTAAGTAAGATAGTTCATAGTTTGGGTCAGATATCACACACACAAAATATATCAGAAAACCATACTAAACTTCATGCAAATGTCTCTGGCATGAGTTGCTAAGTAGGCAACTTCTTTTTGTTTAACAATTTATTACACTAACAGTGTATTATACCATGTGAAATATTAATTGGTGACACTATCATCATTGTTATCTGAATATTTCCAAGATGTATATGAAGTGTCAAATCCATATAACCGTACACTCGCCCATTGCAATCAAATTTCAATCAACTAGTATTGCCATCTACTCACTCACATTATTGTATCCCAATTCTTCACCTATGATCTTCATTTTAAACGAATTTCGAAAACCTGTTAATACAAAAGAAATAGCTGTGACAAACCTTATTACAATGAGGCAATATTAATATTGTACAATAGCCCTGAATACAAACTTATTTCATTTATATGCCTCCTCGGAGCACACGTAATGCCTCAGCAAGTGCATGCTATTGGTTTCTGAAACACTGTAATCAGCAAGCAAGGCTACTTGCTTTACAGATTGAAGTTCTAGCCTACACAAAGTTACATGAACACTGAAATTCTGTTATATAATGTAATACCTTGCACAGATTTTATCACTCCATCTTCAATCTTGATAGTTTTTTCGTCATTCTTGTCAAGACTGATGTACTGCCTGACAAAAATATCAATTTTCATTTTCCTCAATAGATATATATATCTATGCACTTCGATAGCACTATTTTTTGAAAGTAGTAATATACTTCACTGTACTATACAGAGTGCTTATACATAACTATAATACATGTGCTGTTGCAAATATATAGCTATAACACAGTAGTTATAAGCTATTCATGTCTAATCAAACAATCACTGAAACTTAATGCATTTTGTATGCAAATGATATACATAACACTATAACCAAGTAACCCTATATTTAGCACCAACCCCAACATCGGTAACACACCATACTTGCATACTGCAGTTACTTATATACATTAGATCAAACAAGTAATTACCTACCCACGAAAATATGGTGATGGGCGGAAAATGTGAGACTCTGAAAATTACATAAATCAGACTAATTAAGCAATGACTTCACTCCCAAGCTGCATGAAACAATAGTATACATTGTAACAATAACAGAGATCTTGCTAATTTGATAAGCAACAATAGGCCTACTTCATGTAATGATAAATCACAAAATTGATTCATATAAACATTTGATTGCTATGCAGGGTTGATTTACAAAATTAAAGCACGGTGCAAAGATATACAATGCTATCTTGTACACACAGTAGGTATCAAGCGTGATCAGTGCAAAAATAATCGACATGCTTGATTATTAACAGAGATTCCAAATATAATATGTCATTTTTTGCATGAGTACAGACAACCTACCAATAAATTGTTCAGTGATATTTATATCACATATGGCTTGGGTGCTAGGTACACATATGAGGCAGCAGCGTTGTTGCGCGTCACGGTAGACAGCCTCAAATTTTGTCTGTAAACATTATCAGAACATTATCGTGATTATACATTCATGAAAATGTTAGGTCATCTTAGCAGGAGCGGATAATAGAGATTATCCCTATATAGATTATCTCTATTACCAACTCTAGATACAATAATGTAACCCCCGTGTTTGGGTTACATTATTGTATCTATTATCCACTCCTGATTTTAGTAATGCTCATAGGGCCGGTCTATGTCCCCCAGGGTACTGCCGGAACGTACCCTGGGTACGGTCCGGTATACCGGAACGTACCCTGGTAACTATTTGATATGGTTAGGGTTAGGGTTTGGGTTAGGGTTAAGGAGTAGGCGGAGGCGACTCCCTAGACTCGTTAGTGGAGTAGGCGAGGTACGGTCCGGCATATTACTATTAGATAGTACCAGGGTACGTTCCGGCAGTAACCTGGGGGACATAGACCCTCTCAGCCTTAGTAATATGCCCTGATAACATGGGATGGACGTGATGTTTAAAATTGGAGGCTACCCCTTTTTGGTGTGCCCTTAAAATCTGGAAAAATACTGTCTTAGTGTCTAGCTTCAGCCCTGGATCCGCCACTGTACAGTACGTACTTACTGTACAGTAATGCAGTACCGTGACTAGATCTATATACAGAACTAGCACATGACAAAAATGTAATAGCTATATACTATCGCTCTACAATTATGTATACCTGCAAATTTCTAAAGAAAGGATTAAAATCTAAATCTTCAATGGGCGCTGCCATCTTGGAACAGCTGTAAGAATATTTTTCCCTGCATGCATTGCAAGATTACAGACGAATCATTTTTCGGAAAAACTATTCATTTTTAGATGATAGTTTTATGATGTAGCAGAGAGAAAGAGGAAAAAGAGAGACAGAAAAATACAAACACGTAATCACGTGTTGATCCAGAACACGTAAGTGGCGGATCCAGAAGTGAATTAATTTTAGGGGGCGAATCGTTCTGGGACCGGGACTCGGGAGGCGAATCATACGATTGCAACATACAAATAACGTATTAATATATTCAATATATTTGCAACATCTGTTTCGCTCTTTCAACGCCGGTCATCTTTTTGTGTGCGCGCGCGCGCACGTGCGCGCACGTACCCGTACACGTGTACGCGTGTGTGTTGTAGCGTACGTTGTTTGCGTGTTGGGCCCACTGATCTCTATAATAAAATCTTTATTATAGAGATCAGTGGGTGGGGCCCGCTGCCTGTGCTCAAAATTGGCAGGGGTATCCTCGAGGGACATGTGCTTGGAAGATTAATTTAGCTAAAAAGATGTATAATTTTACCGCAGTAAAAAATACTTATTTCTGTGTACGCTGGCCAACCATACTCGCGCGCGCGTCCCACATATGCTACCGTCTCATGCCCGCCCGGTGGTTGCTAGGTTACGAGCTCCGCTGCTGGGAGTGCTTGCGTGATACAACATGGAGTCACGGGGAGTCGTGTGCATCAGAAATAAAGCTTTGGAGCTTCGTAACCTCGTATTTAAATATAATATTCACATCGCAACAAGTACGGATTATTAATAATTTATAGTCATTTACAATTATCGTTATTATTATCACATTGCCGTATCGCAAGTGTAGTGTGAGCACGACTTGAGCGACGACTGAACTGAAATTCAACGTTACATTATCGTCGACAACACTCAACACGCAGCGTCAAGAATATGCCCACTACACTGCAACCTGGCAGCTACTGATATTGACAGGTCTAGCCTATTCCCAGCCCGACAAAGGTGAATATAAAGCCCTTAGCCCTTATAAAAACTTTACTATTGCCGTAAAGCGGTACGGTTCCTGCCAACAGTTGGTCAAGGGGGCTGAAAACTGGGTACGGTTTGGAGTAGACGAGGTACGTTCCGGCATATTAGATAGTTAGTAAGTTACCAGGGTACCCAGGGTACGTTCCGGCAGTAACCAGGGAGACATAGACCCTATCAGCGTTAGTGGAATGTGTGCCTTAAACATATCTTATCAAATGACAGATCTTATCGTTCTTAAATATATCTCTGGCTCTGTATCAGTGTATGTATAGTCTGAGATTCCTCTGGCCAATGCCCACACCGACGATTTTGGTGGATTTGGTGTGGGTTAGCCCCACCACCACTAACCCACACCAAATCCACCAAAATCGTCGGTGTGGGCATTGGTCAGAGGAATCTCGGACTACAGTGTATGATACATCTTTGTGTGGCTAGGCTTCAGAGGCTGGTTAACTGTGCATCAGCGGGATCGAGTGACATGAAAGAGATGGAGTGCATAACTTCCTCCTACAATGAGACATTTTACAATGAAAAGCGAACGAGGCGGAAGGCTCGGACAATGAGTGCTCAACCAGATAAGAACAGACGATGGTTGTCTACACCACAAAGGTTATAACTAGATGTCCGTGTGGAAAGATTAAGTCTTGTTGTAATTACGATTATCTATATATATATATACGCTGGTGTTGTGCTAATAGGGACCAGTCTTTACTTGTTTTTTTTTTACGTAACAAATCTGTGTTTTCTTGCATTCCCGGCCACAATTTCCCCACATCAAACTGCAATAGGTATATGTTCTCTTGCAGATGTCATTCAGAGGTGTTCCCTCTGGACAGGCACGCTCGTTGTTTCGACTTTGCTGTTGACCATTACCAGAGAAGTGAAACAGGGTTCAATGATGCATGCGATCCAGCGATGCTGTCTAGTTCCCACAACCCGACAAGTGTCACTGGACTCCACCCGACATTGATCAGATATCACCATAATCAACAGGTTAATGCATAAGTGTGTGTTTATAGTGATATATGCTTGGGCTTATATATATAGTATGCTTAGTTGCAATAAATCTACAAATCTATGCAGTTTCACAATCATGGTACCTATATGTTGATTATGAATCTTCTAATGTGAAAATACTATATTCTTGCTAAATATATATGAGTTTGTTGCCCTCACGAGTGAGATAATATGATATGGATTATAGTAATATAGATGAGACGATGGATTTGTATAGTCGACTTCTGTTGTCATATATATAGAAGCCATGTTCAATGCTTTTCGGCATGTAGGGAAGTCTATTATAAGTAGCTGCTTTTACTCTATAGGCTGACAACGGTAAAGTTATCTATACATTATTGTGGCAAAAAGCCATTCTCCACGATCGATGGGAATTAGCTGACACGTTCGATATTCCTCGAAATCTCGGCAATAGTTCGAGCAGCCTAGGGGCAGCTTCATCGGAACGAGTGTCACAGGTAAATTATGGTAGCAAAAGTTTCCTCATTTTCCTCCTAATACGGGAGCGTTCTATTAGTTTGATTGTCAGGTAACACGATAGGTCAGAGTGTGACTTTAATTTCACAAACCTATTATAAATGGCTCAGGCAATGAGGATGTGAGTTTTATGTCCCTCCTCACTCCCTCCCTCCCATTTTCTTGCTCCCGCCCTTTCCTCCCTACCTTCTTTCCTTCCTGCCTCTTTCCCTTTCCTTTGCATCCATCTCTTCCCTCCCTCTCTTTCTTCCTCTGCCTCTCCCCTGCTTCCTTCCCACTCTTCCTCTGTAATATATAAACTTTTGGGTGATTTTTCAAGATTTCGTGGGGCATGCAGAGCCTGGGGACAGATGCCAGCACCACCTCTCCTCCATCCAAGAGAGCAAGCACTGTGACCATACCCAGTCCAACACTGAGCAGCCCACTCCACCCAGAGAGGAAACCTTCCTTTGTGGCTTGGGAGAAACCGCAAGTGGAGCAACCTGTACTTGTCGTATGTAATATATAAATAAATATATATATACAGTAAAACTCGCATAAGTCGTCATCGTCTAACTTGTCAATTCGCATAAGTCGTCATGGAAGTCAAAGTCCCGATTTTCTCTCATAGTATATTCATTGGAATAGCCCTGCCTAAGTCGTCATTTATATGCTGTCATTATTTGCAAGTCGTCGCCCTCAGGCAGATCCATGTAATACAAACAACAGTAATTTCCTATCTATAAGTCGTCATCAGAAATGCCGATGGCGCAGTGTACGGTCTAGGCGATGTGCAAGCTGGCTGTCGCAGGTATGCGCTTATGTCGAACCGACGATCGCCTGTAGATCGCGCAGCTGAGTTTACATGAGTTGTTTCTGTGTGCACTGATTGTTTCATTCGCATTGTTCGCTTGGACGCATTGTGTTTTTTCCAGCTCGCGTGGAAACAGTCGCGTCGCTTCGCAAAAGTAGTTCATGTAGATATAAAGCTTGGCGAAATATCATCTTGACTCTCCAAGTTGTCGAAATACCGGCTTTGTAAATCGTCAAAATGACGATATATGCACATAAGTCGTCATTTGGGCGACTTACATATAAGTCGACAAAATGACGACTTGCGCGTATATCGTCATTTTCGTAAGTTGGCACAAATATGCTGGTCCCAAAAGTGTCGACTTATGCGAGTTTTACTGTATATTCATTTTTTTGTTTTTTGTTTGTTTATTTATTTATTTATTTATTTAATCATTCATTCATTCATTTATTCATTTATTCATTCATTCGTACATTCTTACCTGCACTAAGCCATATAAGCTTTGCTGGACTTACACAGGCGATAAAGGTGTTTCAGTCCGAGTTTCTCACTTCTCTCTCTCTCTCTGCAGGATGATATGGCTACTGAAGCTCAGTGCTCCGAGGATGTCGATCTACCGCCACTCGTGGAAACTGCACTGCCAAGCACGTCCCCAATAGAAGAGCTTATTGAAGCCCAGGGTAGCAATTTTACACCTCCACCTACCGACACAACAGGCGCAGGGGACAATGGAGATGTTGTAACTTATGGGCCGGCGCCAAATCTGATTACCACCGGCTGTGACGAAGAAACAGTTGTGGCAAATAATACGAATCAAGAGCAGGAACATGAGGAAAGAGAACAGGATGATGTTAGCGAAGACAAAGTGGAGGTCGAGGAAGTGAAGAAGACAAAGGAACCTCTTGAGAATAAGCAGCGACGGTGGAGAAACATAATGCTCCAGAATCCATATTTGAGTCGATATGCGGTCCAGACCGAGTCTGTCCCCCTTGCCAGCAAGAACACGGTCGTGAATTTCGTGAGTATAGTTAATAAGAGTCAGTATCAAACTCAGTAAGTTCAGAATGTGGTTAAAGAATTTAGCAGCTAGATGAATCGTGTACAAAACATTATTGCATCCTGCAGTTGTGTACACTTGCAGGGTGGGGGTGATGCGTACTCCTGGACTAGTGCTTCAGGCTTCGAACAATCCAGTCGTTACACTCTTCCACTTGACCTGAAGGAGCTAGAAGGTAAAACTGCATCTAGACGTTTCACATTTTGCCATCTGGATTTCAGTTAGGTCGAGTGGTCTAAATGCATAAGTCCAGAAATCTGATTTACATACTGTGTCTGCATGTGTTGTACATGTTTTCTGGAAATGCTTTTGGCAGCACGAAACTGCACGATCAATATTAGCCCTGCTATAACCAGACGTTTTATCTATTTCTTGATACAGCAGATGGTCTTTAAAGGTGGAGTGGTGAGAAAACGGGATAAAACATTGTGATTTGCAGAAAAAAAATATTCAACTGATATTAACTATTGTCTACTCTATGAGAATTGATAAAAAGAAGGGTTATTTGAGTTTATTGATATGGTATCGTGGTGGATATGCCATTTAGACTAAGGGTCATCGTTACAGAGTATACCGCTTAATTATAGAGGTAGCTCCACTGGATTATCTCAAGCTACACTGCAAGGTAAAGATTGTGAAAGAGTCACATCTGCACAAGTTCTTTCTTAAAAAGAAGAGTAGAGATGGCTTCATTCATGGAAAGGTAGAGTACTCTTAGCATTACTGCTACCACTAAGGCGAGTTGGGAAATTATACCAGAGGTGTTTCCTTTGCTTATCTATCAGCATATCTAGGTTAACTGGACAGCTAGGCTTCTACGTTAGTCAGACATTTATACTAATAACAATAGTTATTGCCAGTAGGTTAACGAAACGATAGTAACGTGCATTTGCTCGTGTTTCAGCACGTAGAGCAGGCCATTGCTGATGTCTACAAGGGCGTGGCGATGCCTATTGCATTAGCACTGCAGTTTGCTGGCTGGCAGGAGAATGCCGTATTAGACTCGAGAGCATTCACCGTGCTCTGTATATTGGCAGAGCGGATCCACACTTGTCTCTCAAGCAAGTACGTTCCGCCGTATGTTGTACGAGTCCGCATGTCGTATGTTGGTGCTGCTTGCGTCCTGTAGGTGCCCGCTTGTCTACGTAAAGCGATAGATGAAAAATATCGAAGATTTATATTCATTGCTGATGGTCTAAATGAAAAAAAAACCTGTTATATGCAGTATTTTCATAATGTCGTAATAGATACCTTTGCGTACCTCCGCAATAGAAACCTAATAATGCCACCCGTTTCCAAAATTTGGCAAGTTACTTTTGTAGTTTTCTCCTGATCACATCCAACTATTGTATCATATCAAAATTCATATAGTTGAGACATGTGTTGTCAATCCTGTGAAATAGCTTTACACGTTAAGTGGTTTTAAGTACGTGATGCGCACTACAAGAATGTGAGTATGTAGTGTATTAACTATGAACTCGCGTTCGCAGGAGAGGCGTGAGGAACGATCAGGATGCATTGGAGAGCGCTGACTTCGGAGCTCTGAAGTGGAAACTACAGGGACTCGACATTCCGTCTCCAGTCGCCACCCTGCTGCATGCGATCGGAGGAGGAGACTTCTCCCAGCCTCCTACCACTGCCGAGTGAACGCCAGGAGGGTGTCAAGAGGAGGCGTGTGTAACCGACACTACTGAGTGAACCCGGAACACGAACGGAAAGCCGAGATGTGTGTAAATCCGCTCTCGGCGCGTGTAATGCAAGCCGCGTATCGTCACTGCGTGTCATAATCAGCGCTGGAAGCTGTATAGTAACGGGTCGAAGGGGGTGGCACGGTGGTCAATCACCAGACAGTCGACGCCCTAACTGCTGTCGGGCTGAAAGCGTGAAATCCCCACACGTGGGCTCAAGGCGCGGGCGATCTCACGCGCGGCTGAGCGTTCTCTCGATGTTAAGTGCAGAAATAGCCAGGGGAGAGCTGCCGATGACGTCACGCTGACACCCCCCCCCCGAGGTGGTGACGTCACGCCGACCTTGGCTAATCAATACACATTAGGCTGCGTGGAGCGCTCGGGCACAAACAGCACGTGCAAACAATTCCGGTGTCGTGTCATTACGAGTGCGTCTTTGTGAGCCAACGCGTGTGCGGTCAGAGTATGTGCGACAGCCAGGCCCAGAGGGCGGGTGTAAGGGGAAATGCATGCGTGCAGCGGTGAGTGAGTGAGAAAGCCCGTTGGGCAAGGGCTGCATACACTGTCACAGCGGTGAACGTGACCAGCATACACATGCGCGCGCGCTGTATTTTGCTGTGTTCTCTTGAATCGATGCGAGTTATTGATCATTAGGAATAGCAGCTGAGAGCAAGCTCAGCTGCATTCTGGCCTGTTGGGTCAGGTTAGTGTGTTGAAGCTTCCGTATGGCTTCACATGTTTAGTAGCGGGTGTAGTTGGTGCCAAGAATAATATTTCCCACGTACATTTTCTACAGGTGTATCATAATCTATATACACATATGTATTATCAATCATTCTAGAGATGATCTGAGAAGACTCGAATTTTTTGTATAGCAAATTTCTTTGGCTTTATACTGCGAAGTATACATTTCAGGCACTTTTAGCAGACACTATATCAACATATCTGTATGTTTAGCGCGTATAAAACGTTAATGTTATTCCAAGTGTAGTGGAAAACTGGTTACATGTAAGCGTAGCATATCAAATTACTATGTTATATATCATCGAAACTTAAATCGACTATTTTGATGACGTCTATAGCTTGTGTAAACATTCATATTGTCGTAGTTACCATGTTCTCTTTACTCATATTAATATATTTACATATAAACAACGTTTTTGAATATGTGTGATATTATGTCAAGAACGATCTATTATAAACGTCTAGAATATACTGAGAACAGACTCCACTAGCTATTATGCGTTCCTTGAAAGAGTTCTTGAATACTGAAAGCAGTTGTTCAGACGTATCCTTCGTCCCGCTGTAACTCCTTCCATCTGTCTCTCAGGTCAGAATAAGCTCGTTCCAGACTTAAATGTTCCTGCAAGAAATAAACACGGGCTTGCAGTGAAGCACCTTTTCCTCCTCTCCTATAAAAAAAATCACGTCTGTTCGCACGTCCCCGCTTTCATTTGTCATGCATAAATAGACAGTTCAGTTCGCTCCAGATCGCTGTTACGAGGATAATCGATACCAAAGCTATGGGTAATAGGGAGGATATCACTTCCACAATTTCTACGTAGGTACATAACTTTCGATTAGCGGGTTACATTGACAGAATCGTGAAGCTTTATCGTCTAACTAGGTCAAGAAATAGGTATGATTCCTCTCTCCCCACTTCTATTGACATAATCCCCATGGTAGGTTACGCTGACTGAATCGTAAAGAGTAATCATGCGATTGATTGGGTAATCGATTAGTTGAGTTTCGTAGCCGTCAGCGCCTTGTCAGCGAACTCATTACGCTGTAGAAATATAACCGTGATCATAATTATAGTAACTAGGCATCGTATGTGACAGAGCCCAGCAATTATCACGCAGTAAACACGTGAACGACACGTACGTGTGCACGTGCGTGCGCTCTCACACGCAGACTTGCACACGCACAACAAACAGAGAGGGGAAGAGATAGTCGGGTCACTCGACTCGACTGGAAGCAACTGGAAGCGATCGGCAGCGACTAGTTGCGTCCAGTTGCCCACTGTTCTATTCCGAGCAACTAGTGGCGGCCAGTCGCAGGCAGTCGCGTCGCAGTCGACCGACCTAAGCACTGCAGTCGCAGTGAATTGCAGCCAGTTGCTTCCAGTCGAGTCGGCTCGCAAGCCCGACATAAGCCCCCCTTTAAGCCTATGGCAGTACTATAAATATTAGAGGTGGTGCCCAATGTAGATATTCCTTAGAAGTGAATTACAGATTAAATGTTCGAACCGCGCCCGCCTATACGGGCGCATTGTATCAAGAGCTCTCTATTATTACTCTTGATACTCTCTATATTATTATTACTCTCGCCCATCTGAAAGAACGTATGGAGCAAACTGCTATTGGAAACCGAATGCACGATCAGATATAAATCGTTGGGAGACGAAGGTATTGAAGAGAGCCGAAAACTGCGCGACCTCTCTGTTATACATAACACAGCCCTACTATCATTCAGCATCATTCGATCAATTCAAATGGATGGCCAATGATAATTGCAATATTTTGCCAACAAGGTAACAAAATTAAAGTCAGGTGAGCTGGAGAGTAAGTTACATCTCAAAGGTCGTTTGCACTGACGCCTTCTGATCCCTCGCACTCGTTGGCCTGTGTGTGAATTTATTCTGCGAAGGCTTCCCGACCTCACTTGTTGCGATAGATTCTAGCATCTTTTCTATTGTTTTCTGACTCGTCCCTGAAAGAGAGTAGGTTCGAGGCCGTCCTGTCGCCAAGCAGAATACTTCCTCTTTGCCACCCGCCGCAGTCCTTGTCGGCAAGAAATTTAGGATGGGCGTCACCTCGCGCTTGAGTTATATTCTATAGTGCTGTGTATGCGGATTGGATTTTTCGTCTTCGGGGAATTATCGGCTCTGCCTTTGGGGGGGGTATGTAGTTATTGGTACAGTCTGTGCTGAGGGTATCATTCTAGCAATCTTCACTGATAATACTGCATGCGAGCAGTGCGGCATTGAGCCGCAATCCAGTGATGTGTCTCGTCCTATCATCGCGTAGTCTGAGGTAACCGCTATGGCCTTATAGTTGATTGCGGAGCTGTATACGTTACAGTTATGATTCTG